AAGCACTTCCCTGGCAAGCACAAGGACCTGAGTTCAATCCCCGGTTCCACCAAAACCAAACCAAACCAAACAAAAAAAATTAATAATAAACTAAACTTAACACAAAGAAACAAGGACACAGGAGGCATCCCTTTTATCCCCACTTTCTAGCTTTGGAGAGTGAGAGGCAGCTAAGAAGTAGTCAGTTGCCCCAGGTAAGGAAGCCTGGAGCAGGGAAGCTGGGACTCAGCCCAGGCCAGCCGCAGCCACCAGGAGGAGTCATCTGTTCAGATACTTGGACAGTGTGGTGTGGAGCAGAGCCCGCCACGCCCAGCCCACCTCAGCATCGAGGGGGATGGAGGGTGTGTTGAAGGCATCTGTCAGTGTTCCCAATCCACAGATGAGTGCCTGAGGTCCAACCCAGAGAGGGAGAGACAGAGGACATCTGGGTCAGGGGCTCAGGGGGGCTTGAATGCTGAGAAGGCGATTCCAGAGCCACGGGAGCTGCCTAGGAGGGAGGCTGACTTTGGCTCCAGCCCCCACAGAAATGGTCTCAGACACATGCCTTAGGCTTTCTACGCCTTGGTTCCTGGTCCCTTTTCTCCCTGCGGCCCCCCTTTATCTTTTTGAGACAGGGTCTCACTGCAGTTCAGGCTGGCCTTGAGCTCACTTTGTAGCCCAGACTGGTCTGGAACTCACAATGATCCTCCTGCCTCAGCCTCCTGAGTGCTGGGATTACAAGTGTGCACCCCACTCCAAGCTTACTGGTTTTTCCTTCTGTGAAGTAAAAATATTCCTTATGTCAGAGGGTTCTTGTGAAAGTGAGGTTAGATAATATGCTTAAAGCGCGTAGCTCACTGCCTGGCCCTCAGCAGTTATTGACAGCTGTTGTTGCCACAGTTCTGAATGAGGATAACAGTTACTCCTGGGAACCTTGGCCCTCACCTGGGTCCACTTGAGGACAGGCTGGGGTGGGCAGTGGGGTAGCACTGAGTGGTATGGGGACAGCAATACCTGCTCTACTTGGGGTCCAGCCAGGTCCCTCCTTCAGGCCAGAGGAAAGCGGAAGGGCTAGTGCTGGGAGGTGGAAGAAGGGGGCTCCCGGGCCCGAGGAGTTAACTGCTTCCAGGCCCTGGCCCGGCCGAGCTGCCACGCTGCAACTGAGCCACGATTTTAGCGGAGGAGCCAGGGCTGCTTCCTGATGGGCAAAACAGCTGGCTGCCCAAGGAAAACAGCTGGCCTGATCCCAGGCTCCTGAGAGCAGAGGCAGAACTTCTGAGGAGGACAGCACCATATCCGGGGTCCTGGAGGAGAAGACATTGGACAAGAGGGAGTGGGTGGTCTGGGAGTGCACGTGGGTGTTGGGTGGACCCTGCAGACGGCAGGGCTGTGGGCAGATGCCTAGAGCAGGCCAGGATGTGCTGCGTCTTAAGACGGCGAGGCTGCCTCCAATGGGATATGGGGGCCTCAGTGTTCCCTCACATAGGAAAAGTGGGGCACAGGGCTACATAGAAGGGCCTTTCTCAGCCCTGGGTCTTCCTGGAACCAAGCTTGGAAACGAGAAGTAGGAAGAGCCCAGGCTGGGCTCCTGGATTCCTAGCTGCTGAGATGCACCCAGAACCAGGAACGTGGTAAGGGCCCATCCTCTGGCCAGGAACCTGGGCTTGCTTGGCCCCAAATCAGGACAGGGGCCCAGAGCCCCCAACTCAGGCAACAGGAAGCTTACAGCTGGTAAGAGCTCTGTCCAAATACCTCCCACTTTGAGTCCCCTTTCCCAGACTGCTTGGCCATCAGGCCATAAGGATCCCCAACCCTGGAGCCATGTCTGGTCCCCAGGGCACCTCTGGGCTACCCCAACCCATCAGCAGGGAAGCAGCTTCTGGAACAGCTTCTGGACATGGCTGGGCACAGCTGGCGGAGGTTGATGGGGCTGTGGCCACACCCAGGTGGTGGACTTGGGCTGCCTATTTGGGCTGCTGCCCCCCAAACTCAGGGGTCTGGCCCTCCTGATTTCTCTGGCCAAGGGGGGCTCCCTGAGCCCACTTCTCTAACCTATGGGGGCAGAGCTTGATCCCGTTTGGGTGTGCCAGCCTCAGCACCCCTCTTCCCGGTGAAGGCCATACTGCAAAGATCTGCCAGTGGGTGGCAGATCAGGGTCGGGGAGAGGTGGGCCTTGGGAAAGGGGACAGTTCTTTCAGGGTCTCTGGCTCACAGAGCCAGAGCAAAGTCTGGGGTGCTGGCGCCGCCACCTGGCTTCGTCCAGAACTACAGTGCTTGCGAGGCATGAGTGCCAGGTGTAGGAACCTGGAGCCAGACTAGGTGCGGGCCTGTCTGGCCTGGCTCCTGCAGGGCCGCAGAGCAGCAACAGCTGTTGTTCTCCGGGTTTGCACCCTGTGTGCCCTGGAGAATGAGCCTGCAGCCCTGGGGATGAGCAATTTCAAGCTTGAGCTTGCATTAGGCTTACTTTATTAGCAGCAGATTGTTTAGGGCTGGGGTGGAGCTCAGTGGTAAACCACTTGGCGAGCATGCACGGGCCCCAATTCCATCCCCAGCTGTACACTGCACTGTAAAACCCAGTGGGTGGCAGATTAGGATCCTGGGGAGAGGAGGGCTTGGCCTTGCTCCCAGAGGTCTCTGATCTCCTAGTTTCCATGTGAGGTTGGGGCTGCTGAACAGGAGGGAGGATGCGTTAATGAATTCCATGGCTTTAGGATTTCCATGAACTTGGCCAATGGCCCCTGTATGGAGTAAATTTTTTGATTATTTGGGGCAGAAAGTAAAAAATGGGAGTGTAGGCAGGAGATGGCCCCACCTCCAGTGGTGACCCTCCCAGATCCTATGGTGAGCCCACCCCATGCCAGCAGGCTCAGGTGACCATGGAGGACAGGTACCTACTACAGGACTCAGAGCCTGATGGGTCTGTCACATGGCCTCCCTCATGGAGGTCCAAAGAGCAGCTCAAAATGAGGCTGAAAGCAATGCCTCATGTTTTGTTTTGGTTTGGTTTAGTGAGACAGAGTCTCACTATGTAGTCCAGGCTGAACTTGAACTCACCGTGTAGCCAGGTTTGTCTCCAATTCATGATGATCCTCCTGCCTCCCGGGTTCTAAAATGACAGAGGTACACCACCATGACCAGCCCAAGGCCCAATTTTCACTCTCTCAGCTTTTCCTCAACTCTTTCCCATTTACTAATTAGCCTATCTCAAGTCAGAGGCAAAAGCCACAAATCCTCTGTCTCCACATCTAAGCTCACAAGGCCTGTGGGCCCACCCCATTGCGATCCTAGCTGTGCCCACCAAAACTATCTCTTTCTGTCCTGGGGTATTTGGCTTCCATCCTTGGGCTCCTGTCAGCTTTCTGAGGGATTCAGAGCCGTCTTTCTCGGATGTGCCTTATTGTTCCTTGTGCACTTTGTCCATGTCTTCCTACTATACTTTTTTAAAATTCCAGGAAGGCTAGGGTGATAGTTTGGTGGTCTAAGTGCCTGCCTGGCAAGTGCAAGGCTCGGAGTTCGGTCCTGGTACTGCATGCTGTGCTGCCCCAGAAACTAGGTGTGGTGGCTCAGGCCTGTAATCCCAGCATTGGGGAGGCTGAGACAGGAGGATCACTATGAGTCCAAACTGCATAGTGAGACCTTGTAG